CATATCAAGAAAATCATTCATCATGACCAAGTGGGGTTCATACCAGGTATGCAGGGATGGTTCAACATTAGAAAAACAATCAATGTAATCCACCACATAAACAAAACAAAGGAGAAGAACCACATGATCATATCAATTGATGGATCCATTAGAGATCTTTGCCATGTCTATATCCATGAAAATTCCTAAAACACCTACCTTCTGACCAAGCAACTCCATCTCTAGCAAACATTTCATGCATGAAATTAAAGTGTATGAAGTTATTCATGCAGAGTTATTTATAATAATAAAAGACTGAAAATAAGCTAAAGGTCCATCAACAGAGAACTGGTCAAAAACTTTATATTCTCTCTCTATGCAATGGCTACTGTGCAGCTATAAAAATGAATGCACAGTCCTGGAGGTCACTATCAGTCAAAAGACAGGGTAGTTCATAAAACAAATAATACCACTCATAAGTACTGTGCTACTCTAAATGATCATCTAAATGAAACCTAACAGTCAGCATTTACCCTAGACCAAAATGAGAAGAGCAGGAATGGAAGCTAGAGCATGAGAAGGAAACTAGATTAATGGAAACACAACAATCAGAATGGAAATAATGAGAATGCTGACACATTGTGAATAGTATAACCCATGTCGCTGAATATGTATAGAATGTGTATAGAAATTATTAAATGAGAACCTAATTTGCTATGTAAATTTTCCCAAAAATCACAATGAAATATTTTTATAAAGTGAATGCAGAAACAATTTACGGAGTATATGAAATGATACCCAAAATTATTGTTAAATGGAAAAAAAAAAGAGGGTAAAGTTGCTGTGTAGTATGCTACCAGTTGTCTAAAACAGACTAAACCAATTATAAAACTATATGCTTATATAAACATAGAATAACTGTATTTTATAAACAAATATTCTCTAGGAAAAAACACTGTACAGAAATAAGGGTGGAGGGAAAACATTATTATTTATCACTTTGTCCCATTTGACATTTTAGCTCTGTGAACTATATTTTAAAATATTGTAAAAGTCATGGAAAGAAAAGTCAAGAATGCCACACTGTCAGATTTCCCGTTGTTGTTGTTGTTGTTATGTGCTGTCGAGTCAAACCTGACTCATAGCGACCCCTCCTTGAGTTGCCGAGGCAGTATCACTACGGAAGTAGATTGCCCAACCTTTCTTCCGAGGAGTGGCTGGTGGGTTTGAACCACCAGCCTTCTGGCTAGCAGTCAAATGCCTTAGGCCCTATGCTACCAGAGCTCCTATCAGATTTCCCGAGGGGAAAAAAATTAAAGAATTAAGCATCCCTCCCTCCCCCGATAAAAATTCATAATAAACGAAATGTAATTTGTTTGTTTTTAGTCAATTTGAGGGAATTTGCCTACTAATTTAATTCTTCTCTAAAATTATAATGGAGAAGATAGAACATAATTGGATTTTTTCCTGAAGTCTAATGTAGATGGGGTAATCTACTTCTGTAGTGATACTGCCTCGAAAACCCAAGGAGGGGTCGCTATGAGTCGGGTCCGACTCGACAGCACATAACAGTAACAACAAATGTGGGTATAAAATTTAGTTCCTACACTTTGGATGTTTTTATTCCATTTCTTTGAAGCCTTTACTGTAATGCTAAATAGCATGGGGGCCCAGATAGATCTTTAGACTCTGAATGTATAATAAAACTTCACTTCTGGATATTTATTTCCTCACTTGGATTACAGTTTTGTTATTTATATAGGTGTTATATATTCTCTCTATGTTTCCTATTCTGCAATGTCTGAATGATAATACCTACCTCATGGGAGACAGAATTCTTATTTATGGCATGTATATGATGACAGTAGGTATTTTTTTTTATCAAAGGCTTGGCACCATGCCTGAACACAACATCACACTCAGGAAATGTTAGAGACAAGCAGAAGTAACCAATGAAAAGAAAGTCTATAGAAATGTCATTACGTTTACCCCCATAAATTATCAACAAAATCTGTGGAGTCATTGTATGCAGTTACAAGTAGGCTGTAATTTTGTGTATCTTTAAATTCTAATGCTTTACATACTCAGATCAAATAGATCACTTACCTGAGGGAATAACAAAAGGATTCAAAGTAGTGTTGCCCTTTTTACAAATATAGCCTAGTTTCTGAACACACTCCAGATTTTCCCATTTAGCATTTTTTCCAGGATTTAGTGACACACAGCTTTTTCCAGGTTCAGCTGATGGGCTTCCTTTGAGGAAAAGAAAATATTAAATGGAACTATTATAGGTATTACAAGTATATTTCCAAGCCTCATATCTTGATCCCTGAGATTTAGTGGATTCCCATTCTTTGTCTACAGAGTCACAAAAAAAAAAAAAAAAAGGAAGAAAAAAAAAAAAAAAAAAAAAAGAATTTACTGAATGCAGAGCAAAAGACAATAAGATGGGTGTCTATTTTTTTTTTTTCTTTTTCCACTTGTTGGATCATCCCAATGCCTAACAGTATACATTTATACAGGTATAAATTTTTAAATAATTTTTTTTCACCATATCCATTAATAAAACTAGACTTTATACTTGAACAATCTTCACACTGGGTTATTTTATGTATCATAAAGCGGTACCTGACAAAAAGAATATATGATGTTATAAACCAGCCATATTAGATATTGTAAATAGCCATCAAATATTTGAATTGAACTAAGACTATCAGGCTAAAGAATCTCTAGGCATGGGAACCTTTTAAAGGAGACGGGAAAAGAAAAGGAAAGGAGACCCTGGAAGCAGCAACATGCCATCCTAAATGACGATAAATGCTCCCAGAACTAAGACCTCTTTCTCAATAATGTTTTCAGTTCTGCCTATTTGAAGAATATTTTAAATAGCTCAGCTCTCATCCTAGTTCTCAGTGGAAGCTGATTAAAAATGATACAGAGTCATCTTTGTTAATGCAGTAGACACACACCATGTTTCTCTTGCTTTTCACTACTCTGATGATGGTGGTGGTGGTGCCATCAATTCGATTCCAACTCATAGCACCCTCGTGTGATAGAGAATAACTGCCCTATAGGGTTTTCTTGGCTGTAATCTTAATGAGAGCAGATCCTTAGGTCTTTCTCCCATCGAGCTGCAAGATAGGTTCTAAATCACCAACCTTTGGCTTAGCCACCTAGCACTTGCACCACCAACTCCGTACTCTGATGATACATGATTTTAAAACCAATATTCTAAAGACCAGCTCCAGCTGATATCCGAAGAAAGTGAATGAGTAGCATTCTGTTAGAGATTCTGCCTTGTGACTTCTGTATAACCTGTGCCTCAACTTCACGTTCCCTTTCTGAAAGATGGAAATCATATTATCTGCTTCATAGGAGCTCTGGTGGTGTAGTGCCTAAGGCACTTGACTGCTAACCAGAAGGCTAGTGGTTCAAACCCACCAGCCACTCCTCGGAAGAAGACTGGGCAATCTACTTCCATAGTGATACTGCCTCAGAAACCCAAGGAGAGGTCGCCATGAGTTGCAACCAAATCAATGGCAGTGAGTTTTTAAAGTTGTTAATCAGAAAGCTTTGAAGGTTATTTGACTAACACACAAAGAAAAGTAATTGTTGGTGACATGTGTAAAGATATTTTTAAAATAGGTTGACCAACCAGATAACTGAATTTACAGATATGGGACAGTACTAGAAAGAAACTTTCAGGAAACAGTAATATATTTTATAGCTATTATGTTGTTGTTGTTTGCCATCGAGTCGAACCCAACTCATAACGACCCCTCCTTGGGTTTCCAAGGCGGTATCACTAGGGAAGTAGATTGCCCAACTTTCCTTCCAAGGATATACTTTAGTATATAGTATTATATACTTTATAATTAAAGTATTCATTAGTACATTCATCTAGTTCATTAATTGGTGTTCTTTCCAAATACTTACCATTGATATTATAATTTGAATTCATACTACATGTCATTAATATAAAATACCCTTACTTCCTCGGAAGGAAGGTTGGGCATTCCTACTTCCGCAGTGATACTGCCTCGGAAACCCAAGGAGGGGTCGCTATGAGTCGGGGCCGACTCGATGGCAAATAACAACAACAACAACAACCCTTACTTCAAGTGAGAACATATTTTAATAGATGCATTATTGGTAAGCACTCAGTTGAATGTTTGACTGAATAGTTATATAATAACAGTTTCTAATATTGCACAAGGTTTCCAATATTAGTTTGAAGAAATTCTCATACTATTTCAGAAGATGATTTAATCTTGCCCCTGTTTCTCAGGAACTTGGTTTAATAAGGAAGGGGTTTTCACTTCCTTTCTAGTTAGCATTTCAATTTCACTCCTCACCTTCACATAAACTAACCCCCAAATTTTCTCACTGAACTCTTAGAATACAAATGGTTAAATATTATAACCATCACCCTCCAGTTGAGTTATGAATTAACTGACCTTCTTAATGGTTTACAATATTTTAGCAATCAAGAAGAATAAACTCTAGACCCCTAACTGCCAACTACTGTTGTTTAGCTATCTGATTGAATCAACTGGGATTCTCCACTTTAATTTGACTGAGTGTTACATTGTGCAATCATGGTAGACAAATAAATTAAATCCTGACCCATAAAAGAGACATCATATATTCCCTTGCAGCAATGTTTACTTCCCTTATTCCAAGGGAAAATAGAAATTATCATTGTTACAAGACTCTATAGGCAGCCATGTAACCATCATGCATAAAAGGATTACATTGAAAGCAGGATTTCATAGAAAATCTAATCCATTTAAACCAGAATGGAGCCCTTTAAAATTCATTCCTGTGTTTTAGCATCTATTCTGAATATTGTATCCTCAGATTTTTTAATAACATATAAATGGAGATTTTTCTAAGCCAAATGCAAAAACTATTCCATGGTTTTAAAAAGGGAGTCTGACCACATATGAAACAACACCATAATAGGATTGTGCATAGCAGAACTGGCAAATTAATATGTGACCCATGTGCTACTCCTCTTCCTTCCCACATCCATAGCAGGCATCACTAATGGTTAATTTCACTCTTTGCTGATAAGCAAGATTGGAGGTGGAGGACATCTTGAAATTATACTCAGTAGAACACCACAAGGAGTTGTTAACGCTGAGGAATAAAATGATGAAGTTTCTTACCATTGACCTTTTCTTTCCTCTAATTAATTGCCTATGTAAAGCTTACATTTACTATTTAGTCTTCTTTTATGTTACATTCATCACATGTTATAACAATTTAGAAATAATTAGTTCACTTTAGAAGAAATTAGTTCTGCCCTTCAAAGAAGTAGACAAATTTCAAAGCCAGGTGAGAAGTAGACCATATTTGATGAAGTCTCCCAATTCTCCTCTTTGAGATCTATATGTGAGATCCTAAAAGTCTCCAAGACAGACAACTAAATTACATTTGCATTAATTCAACCAAAGAAAGCCTTAAACCTACCTGGTAGCCAGTTTAAATATCGGAATGGACTGCCATCACTCCACTGCCAGCCACTGTTGAAACTTAGACTGTTAAGTCCAATCCAGAGTCCTGAAGTCAAGGAACTTGTTAATCCTGAATAACAAAGCATAAAAACACAATCTGATATTCCAAAAAAGACAGTGAAATCAAATACAGAGTTAAGTGCTTGAATCAAAATACATTTGAGAGAAATAGTAATAATTATACCCACTCTTTCTCAGTTAATTCTTCTAAAAAATCTTAGTGAAGCAGAATGATTACCTCCACTGAACTGATAAAGAAATTGAGGCTGAGCAAGCATAGATAAAGTGGCAAGTTTCTTGCTGAGGTTCCAACCCAGGTTTGATTAGCTTCAAATTCCATGATTTTTACAACTACTATATAGTTTCTCAATAATAGTATGAGTGTGTTTCTTGGAGAAGAATATGTTTTAGTATCATCAAATACTCAAACTTTTTTACTTCATTTTTTTTAAAAAAAAAGATATATTTTGTATAACAAAGTTTTCTACCATGAAAAAGTTTAATAAACATCTCAATCTATCATTTGATAAATTGTTACCGCAACTTCATGTTTCAGAATTCATTCTAAGAATTTTATTTTATATTTTTTCAAGTTAGTTTTCCTTCTTAATAAGATGATGATCAAATTCTGAACATTAAATGTTTATGCTAACATGAACAACCCTTTACTAAAGCAGCTAATAAATCATTATTACAATGGTTCAAACTCTGGGTTTGGGCTAAGGTGGAAGTTTGAAAAAACAGAGACAATGTGGACCTTAGCTCACTGTGTCAAATCTTTATCTTTTTAAAAACCATTGATAAGCAGTCTCTGTTCTCTGTGCCTTCTTCTAGTTGATTAAAGAGAGCTAACTAGAAGGAAAACTGTCCTTTGGCCTTAGTAAAATGCTCACCCTCTATTATCTAAACATGCTGACAAACATAGACCAATTTATACTTACTGTTATGTATGTTGTTGTTGTTGTTTGCCATCGAGTCGGCCCCAACTCATAGCGACCCCTACTTGGGTTTCCGAGGCAGTATCACTACGGAAGTAGGAATGCCCAACCTTCCTTCCAAGGAGTGGCTGGTGGGTTTGAACCGCCAGCCTTCTGGTTAGCAGTCAAGTGCCTTAGCCACTATGCTACTAGAGCTCCCTACTATATATCCCCAGTCAAATCTTTTACGTGGTAAGAGTTACCACTTACTAAGCATGAACTGTGGGAGCGCTGGTGATGCAGTGCCTAAGGCATTTGACTGCTAACCAGAAGACTGGAGGTTCAAACCCACTAGCCACTCCTCAGAAGTAAGACTGAGCCATCTATTTCTATAGTGATACTGCCTTGAAAACCCAAGAAGGGGTCGCTATGAGTCAGATCTGACTCGATAGCAGTAAATTAGTTAAGTTTAAGCATGAACTGTATTCCCAGCATTGTATTTGCTCATTTAATTCTCACAAACTTTGAATTAAATACTTTTATCATTTTAAGGAGCTCTCATGGCACAGTGGTTAAAACATTCAGCTTCTCACCAAAAGATCAGTAGTTCAAACCCAACAGCTTCTCCACTGGGGAAAAGATGGGGTAGTCTGCTTCCCTAAGTATTTACAGCCTTAGAAACACTCTGTCCTGTAGGGTCACTATGAGTTGGAATCAATTTGATGGCAGTGGATTTGGTTTGAGTTGGTTTATCATCATTATATAAATTTGCAAATCAAGGCTCAAAGAATTTAAATGACGTGCAATTAATAAACGGCAGAACTGAAATTTGAACCTAGGTCTGTATAACACAGACAGACTAGTTATATAGTTCTGATTAGCTATCTCACAGTCACTAAAATTTACCTCCAATGTTTCATTAGCTTGCAAATATACATGCGCACACATACACATACACACATTATACACATTATATACTCATATAAAAAATTCAAATGATTAGGAGTAGAATGACTCAATGCTAAAAAATCGTACCTAACACTTATTATGCCCCAATTCCATAACAGCGCTGATCACCTTCTTAAGGGTGATGTGACCTGAATATTGCACTATTTGTTCAGCTTTTAGCAAAGGACTCTTACAAAGGAAGAACCACTTGAAGACATTGATTAGATTGATATTACTTAGGTACACTGATGCTTAGTAAACTAAACTGAATTCAATACTGGAGTTATTTGCTGGAAAGTACAACCTTTTGTCTGTTTTTTTAAAATACAACAATAAAATATAAATGAGATGAAGTTAAATACAAGCATACAAAAATCAATGAAAATTAATTCAGTCTCACTTATCTTCAAGCGTTCTAGAATAAAATGTTTAAGAGCTGGCAGAGATATTACACAGCTAGTGGGCTTTGCATACCTTGGGAGATAACTAGTCCAGTTTCTGCATGTTACAGATGGGGAAACTGAACCTCAAAACCCAAACCAAACCCATTGCCACTGAGTCAATTCCAATTAATAGACACCTGTAGAAGAGAGTAGGACTTCTCCATAGGGTTTCAAGACTGAACTCTTTATGAAGACTCTCATATCCTCCTCCTATGCAGCAACTGGTGAGTTCGGAAACCCTATCGGGCAGTTCCACTCTTCCTATAATTCAGAATTGACTCAACAGCAGTGGGTTTGGTTTTGGGGTATACTTGCAGAGTGAAAGCCTAGAGGAAATGCTACTGAAAGTGGTATTTCAAAAATGTTATATACAGCTACTCCCAAAATTAATTACTCCAGTAGTTTTCAAAGCTATGTGTTAAAAAAAAAAAAAAAAAATTATATTTAAGACTGCCAAACCATAATTCACTGATTGTAGGAAGAACTGAAATAGACTTAGTCTGATACTCCTTAATTACATTACTTTGCTTGCCATGATAAGAAAAGATAATCGCTCTTTAAGAGAATTATCTGCTCTTTGATATTACTCATCTGATCTAGGTACTTCTAAGCTTCTTTTGAGCACTTGAAGCAAGTAATGCATGTGAAGTATTTAAAACAGGGCCTACCACATAGTATGTACCCAATAAATATAAGCTGTTACTACTACCGGAATCCCTGGCTGGTGCAAATGGTTAATGAACTTGGCTGCTAAACAAAATATTGGAGGTCTGAGTTCACCCAGAGACTGGGAAGAAAGACTTGATAACTACTGCCAAAACAACAGCCACTGAAAACCCTATGCAATATAGTTCTATTCTGATGCATATGGGGTCACCATGAGTCAGAATCAACTCGATAGCAACTGGTTATTACCATCACTATTATTGTCATTATTTTTATTATTAATAATAACTCTATATTGCATTGGGATTGGCAAAAGATGCTCTTTAGAAACAAACTCTAAACCCATGTTAAATGTATCACTTAATGCAGATGAATATTGTTCACAAACTTTTTCTCTAAAGAGCTTTTGTTATTTTACAAAAGAGCAGACCAAATTTTCAGTATTGTAATACAAAGCATCAATTCCACATGCTAACTAAATTTTTAATTTTTCTTCATGCAATAGCTAAAATAGTTATGTATTTACTTTTGAACTTGGTAATAATAGATGTATTAATGTCTAATATAATAGGTCTTTTTATTTTCTTCTATATACTGAGATCTTTTTTTTTTTTTTTTTTCCAGCCAGCACCAAAGGAAACTGGCAAAAACAATCAGGGTAACAAGCCAAGTTTCACTTCCTATATCTTATTTCAGTTCTGTAAAACTTAATCCTGCACATATGTAGTTATGAATCTGATTCAGGAATTGAAGATTAAATCCAGTGTCCCAACATTTTTCAGGGTAGAAGCAGAAGTGAAGGTGATGAAATGCTAGCAGGTCATATAAGAATGGGCTGCTGGGCAGAAATATTTCACCCTGTCCATAAAACCCAACCAAACCCATTACCATCAAATCGATTCCAACTCAGCAAATCAGAGTGTCACTGAAGATTGACAGTTACTGGAGCAGGGAGATCTTGACATCCTAAATTAATGCTTCAAGTTAGTGCTCTGGGAGGCCATGGATGGTACAAATGATTAACATGCTCTGCTAGTAACCGAAAGGTTAGAGGTCATAGGCCATTCAAAGGCACCTCAGCAGAGAGGATTGGTGATCCACTTCCAAAACTACAGAGGACAGCTCTTCCCTGATACATATGGGGTTGCCACAAGTCAGAATGACTGCATAGCAACTGGCTTACAGGTAGTGCTATGGGAACCACTAGATCACTGCTTATTTTGTGTGAGACACAGTATGGTGACATGGTAAGTTCTTCTTGTTATTGCTTGCCATTAAGTTGGTTCTGACTCATGGTGACCCCATGTGTAGAGAGAAGAACTTCTCCATAGGGCTTTCAAGGCTGTGACCTTTCAGAAGCAGATTACCAGGCCTCTCTTCCCAACCACCTCTGTGTTGGTTTGAACCCCAAGCTTTCAGCTAGCAGTAGAGCCCTTAACCATTTGCACCACACATGGACCACATGGGAAGACACTGAATTCCAGTCCAGCTATTTTCTGATCATGGACTTCAAGCAAGTTTCCTAACTTCTTCCACCTCATTTGTTATCTCATCTGTAAAGTGGGTATGATAATATTGTTGCACAAGATCGTGAACTTTCGTATTAAAATCTAGTCTCTGGTACATAGTAGCTGTTCAATAAATGGCCATTAATATGATCTCAGAATCATAACTGACTTATACATTTTTAAAAAGAGTGATAACTTTTCAAAATCCTCACATAAAATAAATTTTATTTTAAAAGTATATTTATTTGTGGGGCTTTTGCTTCTTCTTCTTCTTCATTTTAGTGGTCTATTACCCAAAATAAGGAGCTCTAGTGGTGTAGTGCCTAAGCATTTTGACTGCTAACCAGAGAGGTTGGCAGTTCAAACCAACCAGCTGCTCTGAGGAAGTGAGATGGGGCAATCTACTTCCACAAAGATTTACCACCTTGGAAACCCAATGGGGTTACTATGAGTCAGAATCAACTTGATGGCAGTGGGTTATTGTTATTATTATTATTATTACTCAAAATAGAGTGGTTCACACTGCCCCAAATATAATATTTTCTATATTTTCCCCCAATATATCCAAATAAAATACCCAGTGTCTGAGTATCTTCCCTCTGAAAAACACAAAATTATTTTTATTTTTTAAATTCCCTGTCAGACATTTTTTTTTCCCTCCCAGTGCATGATATGTTAGACTTAAGGAAAAGTAGGAAGTACTACAAATCTCATTAGTCAGTCTTATCCAGATTCCAGTTAAATCTTGCTGACTAAAATCCCAGAGGGTTGGATAAGATTCAAATAACTATCAGAGGTGAACTGGGCATCTGAATCTCTAAGGGCTTGTTTGCTCTCATGAGGGATACAATAATAGCACTTGCTGATTAGAGAAGCATTTCCTGCCACTGAAGCCTGATAGCAGAGGAAGCCCAGACCGGGAAATTAGTGTATAGATGGGCAGAACAGCAGGTCTGCCAGTATCTCCCTTTCTTCTATGCAGCTGGTGAAGAGAATAAAAAGTAACCTGTGCTCTGTCCCTCAGCTTCCAGAAAGCTGAAACAAGTAAAAATTGGAAGAGTCAAGAAAACACAACCTACAACAGATTCCTTTAAAGAAAAGGAAAAAAAAAAAAAGCCAACTGACACCATTTCAACTCTAATATGTTTTTCTCTTACCCATGCAAATGTGCACAAAAAACACCAAGATTGTCTTGAATAATCTTTTCTATTCCTTCATCATTTGAATTAGTATTATTTTTTCTCTCTTTCTGAGCTGTCTTTTTTCTTCCTGTTATTTTTACACATGCTTGTAAATATTACAAACAGTTAATGTGCTTGGCTACTATCCTGCTAACCAAAAGGGTGAAGGTTCAAGTCTACCCAAAGGTGTCTTAGAAGAAAGGTCTGATGATCTACTCCCAAAAAATCAGCCATTGAAAACCCTACAGAGCACAGCCCTATTCTGACACACACAAGGTCACCATGAGTCAGAGTCAATTCCATAGCAACTGGTAACACAAATATTAATCACTCAGGTCCTTTGTCCCAGAGTTTTAGGAAGCCTCCAAACACTGACACACACACAAAAAAACTAAACTCCATCCCATCGAGTTGAATCTGACTCAGAGCAACCTCCATTGGGTTTCTGAGGCTGTAAATCTTTATGGAAATAGATTGCCCCATCTTCCTTCTGCAGAGCAGCTGGTGGGTTTGAACTGCTGACCTTCCAGGTTGCAGCCAAATGTCTTATCCACTATGCCACCAGAGCTCCTTAAACATTGACAGAAAATGGAATATTTCAGCAGACTGAGACCTAATTCCATTTCTGAGATTATATGTGCACAGAATGAGTTCATACTGCTTTTCTTTCTTCAATCTCCTTAATAACAATTTAGGGGAAATGTTCACCATTTGATGAAAGGTATCATCTGAAAATATTTGGGAAAAGTCCTAGAAAATGAGGTGGAGCTGGGAGCATGCTCCATCCCTCCTTTTCTAGCCCAGATCCCAGGGCCTTACACACAGTTATGGCCAGTACACATGTAGGGACAACTTGTTCACATACATCATCTTCTTTAATACATGAAGGCCCTGAGGCATAGGCACCTCAGGTAATCCCCAAGATCATTGCCTTCACAGAGCTGGGACCCAGACTGGCTCCTGAGTCCATGCCTATAACTCCTACCCCTACCATTGCTGATACCGTTCATAATGAAACAGTGTTTTGCCAAGTGTGGGCCCCAGTTACTGACCTCAGAACCATCAGGGAAGTTGTTAAAAATGCAGATCACTGGGCCTCACCTCACACCTATTAATTTAGAATTCCTGATGTTTGAGCCCACCATCTATACTGTTAACAACGTTCCTAGGTGATTGATAAGTAATTTCACATTTAAGAGGCACTGCATTTACTGTCTTCTTGCCATTAATGGCCCAGCTGTCCAAAGGTTATGCTGAAATACTAAAGAATTATTTTTATTTTGCTGCATCATCATTTGCCAGTCAGCAAACATTTGTTGAGACTCTCTTTCTTACAAAATTCTGTGCTAATCTCCTTGGGTGGGACATAAATATTTACATAACAGGCCTATTTTCCAGCCATTTCTCCCTCTAATCCATTCTCCACACAGCCTTCAGTTTGCATCCTTCATGGTGCTTACTCTAAACTGCTCCTGTGTGTTTGTTTGTCAACTTTTTCATGTCTAATTTCCCTTGTTGGACCTTAAGCTCCATGTGGACAGGACCAACCTGTTTTGGTGACCCTATATCCTCAGGACTTAGCATAAAACCTTGCACACAAGTACCAGATGTCTTATTGAAAAATAAATGAATTAACAAATGAATGCATAAATAGGACATAGATATATGTCACTGACTGTAATAAAAGTGATGAGCAAACAAGAGAAGTCAAGATAAAAACAGAGATGGCAACTCCATGACGAAGATCACATTTCAAATGTATAAAATGTTAGGTATTCCAGAATAGGGAAATCCAGGTAAAATAAATGGCATGAGAAAAGATGTGGAGGTAAGAAAGTATGAGATATAGATAAAAAACACAGATGTTTCTTTTGTCAACACTGCATAATGCAAGAAGAGAAACTGTAGTAGGTGGAGAAATGAGAGCCTTCAAATATAAAGCAAAGCATTTGGTAATTATATGATAGAAAGTGAAAAGCCACTCATTTTTGGTCATGGTAATCGTAGGACCGGATATATATTAATCTAGTAGCTATATCCAGGTGAATTATAAGGAAGGGATTCTGGAGGCAAAGAATTGTTGATGTTTTTTTCTTTCACACCATTTTCTGGTCCTAGTCTCTCTGTTTCCTGCAGTGTGGATTTTGGAAAGTAAAACAGATAGATACTCTCTTCTCAAGCAAACATTGTTGTTGTTGTTGTTGTTTGCCGTCGAGTCGACCCAAGCAAACATTAGCTCTTTTAATCTTGACTATCCTGTAAGACTAATTTTTAAAAAAATGTAGGAAGGGTATCAATAACACCTAAAAAGCAGTAGAGTCTGGGAGTTACAGACATAGGAGGCAAAGAAGAATCAGGGTGTCAAACCAGCTCTTGAATTACCCCTGCCTCTGACTCCTGGGAGCTCTGGTGGTGTAATGCCTAGGGCATTTGACTGCTAACCAGAAGCCTGGAGGTTCAAACCTACCAGCCACTCCTTGTAAGGAAAGTTGGGCAATCCACTTCTACAGCGATACCACCTCAGAAACCCAAGGTCATTAAGTTGGACCCGATTCGACGGCATTGAATTTGGTTTTTTGGATTTTTGGTCTGATGGCATAATTATCCTTTATCATTTTGAGCTCTGTGGTACTGGTGGAAAACTTTTAGTTTCAGGTCAGATGTGGGTGAACATTTAGCCAGTATGGTACCACTACCCTGTGTCCAAGAGCAATATCACTGGAAGATTATAACATCTTTCACTCTGAGCCCAGTTCAACTCTCAGAATCTTTCTTAGCACAAGGTTCTAGAGACTGTCACAACCAATAGAACAAAGTTGGCTTGTGAAATGAAAACTATTTGCCATTTTCTGGTTCAGATTTGTCATATCTGCACCATCTGCTATGGCCTGCCTCTGTAATGATATCTGTATTTACTTGCACTGTCTACTTTCAGGTTAAAACATACAAAAATTAAATAATTGTGATTTTACTTACAACTTTGGTTCCTTTTCATGTTATTACCTGTCAAGTACGTTTGCTCGTGTATCTCTGTGATGCTCAGCAGTTCAGCATTCTGTTGTTGGCAGCTCTTCCTCGCCTGGTGCCAAGTTAAAGCGGATTTGGAGTTTATCTGGTAGGAAATGCTAGTCAACGGATCTTTATTCCATAATCTTTCACTGCCCTCAACTGCAAAAGAAATGGAAATTTGCTGCATGATGGATAGAAAACATTTCAGTGAACGATGTTTTTCAAACAATCCTAGAAGCATCACTGCCTGAAGTACTATAATTTTAAAAAACTTAGTTTTAAAATGAAATGAAGACGGAGACTTTTCAAAGGATCAACCACATCTAATTCCTTTCATGTCCCCAGAGAAAGAAAGTGAGGCATCATTTCCCTAATTTTCCATTCTGGCATTTGGGTTCAGATGAATTGGGAAGTGAGGCAAACACTGACTAAGGAGAGAAACACCAGTCCAACTTCTAGCAAACATAAAAGGGAGAAAATAAAATAAAATATATTTCCTCTCAGAAAATGGGTATGTTTCCTACAGATTTTACTTTACTCTTTTTAGAAATGCAGGGTAATAGAGGGGAGGGGCGTGGACTCAGCAAAAAGACTGACCTGAGCCTTGTTTGGCTGTGGTTAAATGATTAACTTTTGGAGCCTTGTTTTTTAGAGTATATTCAATCTATATATAAAACTCCTGGTAACTACTAGACACTGACCGTTAGATCTACTTCCCTTAATTAGAAAATAATTGCTTTAGTTTATTTTTCCCTTTGCTATTTTATGATTTTCAATATACTCCATAAGCTTGGATGTACTCTACAAAAGCACAATGCTATAATGTAATTAATTACAGCTTTTCCATATAAGATGTTTGGGAAATAAATGAATGGAATACTTGCATATACTTAAATGGTGTGGAATTTCTCTTTTGTCTTTTTAATAATATAAAATTCTACTTACAAGTCACGTGAAGTAATAATCTTTCATTTTCTTCTTGAGGAAGAGAGAAAGCATTGTGTAACTTCTCAAATGAGAAGTGTTCAGCTTGCTAAGAAGTTAGGCAGTTTTCCATAGGCATATAGCCTATGCTGTCCTGATTCTTAACTCTGTATCTAACTGTGCTTTGTAACTGCTGAGGAGTAATCATAGAATTTTGTCATTCACACAATATACCCTGTGACATGAAACTGGAGGTCCATAGCACACGAAAGAAGAAAAGTCTATCAAAATTTCATTCAGGCAACAACACAGAAATTTCTATGATGTTTTCACTGTAAAATTATTGTGTATTTATGTACAAAGAAATTACTCGATGGAAAATAACAACAACAACATTAAACCAAATTGTAACTATCTGAAGCTTTACTTATTTATTCAAAATAGTCTCTTCTCCACTTAAGTGAGATCATTCAAACGAAACCAATTTAGAGTTTATTTGAAAATAGAGAAGTTTTCAACAAATCTTTTTACATGCTAATAAGGAGGTCTTGGAATTTAGGAGTTTTGTTTTTAATATGGCAGAAAACATGGGCTTTAAGGAAGGGGGGAATATTTTCCTATCTAAGGTTGAAGAAAAGGGATATAAATGACAAAAAAAGAAGTAAATATGATGTTACTCTTCACTAAGAAAGAATATATTGGATTTTAAATCAAGAATTAGAACGTATTTCTCAATGACAGTATAGGTGTGCTAACTATTCACCATCTCTCCAAAGAGTCCAAATTTCCACAGTAAGCCAGCCTAACTGATGTTGAAAGTAAAGTTGTAAGCTATGGGGAATTGTGAGAAAGGGTCTTTTCCTTTTCCTGTTCTCATGATACTTGAAAATAAATGGCTAAATAGAAGGAAAACATTACAGTAAACAATGCAAAAGACAATGAAGAACATATATTAAATGCCAATACATCAATAATGGGTAGCTCATCTTCCTACACTGAATCTGCCAATTTAAGGGTAATATAAAATAAAGTGTTCTTTTGAAAGGAACACAAAACAAGGAAAATGGGATACATTGGAAAACTGCAAAACTCTTTTAAAATTGCATGAATTTATAAAATATGTTGGAAATTTAAGGGACATTGAAATCAACAATTTTTACTCTCTACAGTTATTTTACTTTTACATTTAACAGGAAAAAATATATAATTTTGTTTTGGAGGCATAAATTAGAGGTGATAGATTAAAAGAAAATGCTACTATAAATACTAAAGAGACTCCATCACACACCATCCAAGGTTGTAAATTTTCTTTGTGATTAATGACTTTACATTTGTTCCCCACGTTTCATTCATTGAATCATCCATTCATCTAACAACGGTTTTCTCAACACCATTTCAATATAGAATGCTATAGATGGACTCACAAAATCTCCATGCTTAAGAAACTCCATGGGAGCTTTGGTGTCATAGTGCCTAAGGCATTTGACTGCTAACCAGAAGGCTGGCGGTTCAAACCCACCAGCCACTCCTCTCCTCGGAAGGAAGAGTGGGCAATCTACTTCTGTAGTGATACTGCCTCAGAAACCCAAGGAGGGCTCGCTGTGAGTAGGATCAGAGTCAAAGGCAGTGACTTTTTTTTTTTTAGAAACTCCATAATAGATTTTGAAATTCCTTTCCTACAAAAGGAATAAAAGAGAAAGCTATTCCTTAAACACGGGAATATAATATTATTTTATTTTAGGAGGAAAAAAAGCTTAATTTTTTTTCAGACAAAAAGACTTCTAAAACAGATCAGACATTTATAAATCTTCAAAAGGAATCATGACTCTAAAGGATGATATAAGTGAGACAAGTACATTTACCTTTCCCGAGAATGGTAGAGCAGTGCCACTATGAATGAGAAGCTTGTGAGTTTTCTGGGTATTCATCCAGAATGCAGAAAGTACACCCAAAAAAGATATTTACAATAATATACTTGGCTGAGAAATCAAATTTACTTTTTGTGGAGTGACTAAACCAAGATCCAAGCCAAATCTGATACCATGGAGATGATTCCAATCCACAATGACCCCATGCATCACAGAATAGAACTGTGGTACACAGGGTTTTCAAGGTTGTTGTTACCTGTTGGAGAAAAATATGGCATCTGCTCCTCTAAAGATTACAGTCTAGAAAACTCCACAGAGTAGTTCAACTCTGTCACATGAAGTGGCTATGAGTTGAATCAACTCAATAACACCCAACAACAACAACAACCTTTCAGAAGAAGATGGCCAGGTCTTTTAAAAACATCTCTGGGTGGGTTTGATAATGGGAATGATTAGGGATTAAAAATTAAAAGAGAAAAATAGGGACAATCCTTGGAATTCTGGCTTAATATGACAAACTAAAATATTTTTGTAAATTATATTGTTTTATAATTAATGCTCTGGATAATGAGATTATGTGTGATTTGAGGTCCTGAAAGCTGAGTTGTAATTAGTGCTATTGTTATCAGGTGACTTCACAGCCATCCCAGGCTACACCTGATGATCTTTCCCTGCCCGGCCCCTTTGAAGGGCAGCATTGAAAAAATTCTGGGTAATGCCAGAAAACAGAAGTGGATCTAATCTACAAAGTCTAGAGGGGCAGATGAGTGGTCAGGGGTTAAGAACTATAGGGGGAAGAATAGGAAAAGGGAAGCCAGCAAGAAGAGGAGGATGTGGGCTGACGGGGAGTGTAAAGCAAACAACTCTTCCTTTTTTTCCTTCCTCAGGTCCAGCTCTGCCTTCCAACTCTGATGCTCACCTTCACTGCACCCAAAATCGGCTGCACTGTTGCTTTGTAGATGCTTAAGTGTGGAAAGAGCACCAAGAATTCATCTGTTCTGGCCTCTTCCCACCACTATAATGTAATACCTCTTATTTTGCTTTATTGCAGTAATACTTGAATTTTTATTTTAAAAATCTTCAAGCATATAAATAACTTATTTCCAAGGATTCAAAGCTGTGTAAATTAAATTTAAGAAGAATATCATTACTTTCATTTTCATAATAGAGCCTTTTTCACTACACTGACACAAAATTTACAAACCCTTTTACTTCTCTCTTTCTTTCTTCCCATCAAGCCACATATTTGTGGCATCATTATATTATATTGTGGATCTACAGCTTAATAAAACCATTTGGGGGATGGGAAATAGCATGTCTACCTCTGGAAATAAGTATATATTGCATCCTCTACAGTATAATTTGCCCTAAAATCTTAGAAAATAACTGCCAGTTATAAGAATAAGAGTCAGAGAAAAGAAGAATTTGAAAATAAACAGTCATTTGATGCAGAGAATGTTGGGATAATGGGGATCCTGTCTAGTCTTGTTAACACTATTTAAATACACATAAAAAGACTATGGCTGTGAGTCAGAATATCATGTTCTAGAGGCATATGCTATAGATATTTGCAACGAATTACGACGACTTTGCCATGTTAAATGTGCCAATCTTTTCTTGCTAATCAAGTTACTTACATTTCAATGGACAATATCCAAATAGTTTGTCTGTGTCATAATCTGTAGTGGTTCCACACCAGAGCCATCCATCTGATCGCCCAGCAGTTGTGCAATCTGCATACCACTTGTTTTCAAACTTGAAAGGAAATGCACACGTTGCTCCATTTGCGTTGCCAAGTAGTGTATACATGGCTAAAAAAAAAAAAAAAAACATAGTGACTTGCTTTTAGAAAGTGAATGATGGTTCTGAACACTGATTTTCCAATAAGAAGCACACTGAAAGAATCAGTCTTTCTTTTCTGATCACAATCTATGTCCTCACACAAAGGGATTTCCCAGCCCCCTAACCCTGCATTTTTTGTGTGGTTGTTGCTTTGTTTTGTTTTTTTTCCCCCCTGCTTGTTGCCCTGTCATTTCCTTTCTCCTTCTGTCCAGACTTCTGCTGAGTACATAGAGCAGTCTACACTTAGGATTAATTCTAGCACCACTTCATTCTGAAGCGAAGCAGATTTTCCTCTTTCCTTTTCATTCAAATTCAAAGCTATATTGAAACCAGCTTTGATTTGTGGAATTCCTCCAAAACAGAAAACAGGCCAAACTCCCTCTTAGTTGGAATCATAGGATTATTCAATCTCTAGATTGAAAATAAACTTAAAGTTGAGTATACCAAACACACATTCAAGATTTAAATCCCTTCCAATGACTTCCTGCCAGGCCAGCCTTCAGTGAGTCCCTCAAAAATGACTGCCAGGAAGCGTAGGGATTTTGGCAGAACTCTCTAATCTCATCAAGAAGAGAAACCTCTCAAAACCCATTTGATATCATTTATAACCAATATCTTTCTTTTTAAAATTGTATTCAAACAGATCAAAATAAGAAGGTCTGGGTTCAACTAGAATGGAAAATTAAAACAAACATTATTTTTACTTATGGTTCGCTTAAACCAACAGGATTAGAGACGTTCATATGTCCACTGACAACTGAACAATGCTCCTTGCTAAATTCTCCACTATGTTAAAGGTGTCTAGATTTGTAGGGATCCCTCACCTTGAGAAATAATAACTCTACCTGGAAGTATTTTGTCTCTTGCTACCAGTGATACATAGAATTGTCCTAAGAAGCCATTACTTTTTCTTAATTAAGTTTCAAGGTCCTAAGACTTGAAACCACCCACCCACCAGCCACTCCTCAGAAAGAAGATGGGGCAATCTACTTCCGTAGTGATACTGCCTCAGAAACCCAAGGAGGGGTCACTATGAGTCAGCTCCGACTCGACGGCACCTAACAAAAACAACAACAAAACTTGAAAAAGTTCATAAGGGATATTCAGTCATTTAAATACTAGAAAGTTTGTAAAACATGTAGCAAAATCACTTGGCATATTAAAAGCACAATAAACATTAGTTCCTTACCCCCTTCTCTTTCCATTTACTTAGTGTATCTATCTATCCCTTTTTAAAAGTTAGGTGTTTTGGTTACCTAGTGCTGCTCTGAAGGAATATACCACAAATGGGATGGTTTAACAAACAGGAATTTATTCTCTTACAATTCTGGAGGTTAAAAGCCCGAGTTCAAAGTACCAGGCTCTAGGGCCTGGGTGAAAGCCCCACAACCTTGGGCTTCAGCTCTTCCCCCTGCTCCCAGCCCACTGAAGTTGGAGGCTTTCTTTAGTTGGGCAGCTGCTGGCTACTGAGGCTGACAAACCCAAGGTTGACAAGTAAAAAGGCACAATCCCAATATCACCGAACAACATGGCAGGCTAGTAATTCAAGCCCAGTAAAAGTTCCAAGATTGGCAGAGCGTGGCAGGCTGCTAAACAATGACCTGGCTACATGCAGGGTTCTTATATACTGGAAGCAGACCACATCACTAAAGCAGCTACTAAGCTGCTCCAGTAGATTCCACCACAGAACTGAATCCCAACCTCACCATGGGGAATAACTACATCCAGCTGCCCAGCCACTCAACTGGGCCCAGCCAAGTTGACATACAACATTAACTACCACACCAGGTTTATTTTTAACCTCAAAATTATATTGTTAATTTTTATCAGCTAGCTGTTAATAAGGAGCTCTGGTGGAGCAGTGCCTAAGGCATTTGACTGCTAACCAAAAAGCTGGTAGTTCAAATCCACCAGCCACTCTTGGAAGGAAGACTGGGCAATCTACTTCTGTAGTGATACCACCTCGGAAACCCAAGGAGGGGTCACTATGAGTTGGATACAACTTGATGGCAGTGAGTTTATTGTTTGTTTGTTTTGTTTTTTAGTTCCACTAAGTTACAGAGTGAACTCTTCCAAATCATATTTTGTATAAGGAACAAGCTTAATTGTGACACTCTTAATTATTGGGACACTGTTCCTTCATATGAAGAAAACCCATTCAGACAGTTTCAAGGATAGTTGTACTAGTTATTGAGGCAACCAAGAAATTTTTAGTCCTGGTTTTATAGGTAACAATCAGAAATAGCCTTTTCAGGAGTAACCACACTATACACCTGCTACTAAAAGGGATTTAAAAAAAAGGAAGGGGAAAAAAAAAAAAAAAAAAGCCTCTACCCCAGCCACCTCACTGTAGTTAATTTACTCTTCCTCTTCTGATCCTAACTCTAGGCAACACTTAGAAACCTCCATGTCTAAAATTCTGGTTCTATTAGCACCAGCCACTCCTTAGAAGGAAGGCTGGGCAATCTACTGTAGTGATACCGCCTCAGAAACCAAGGAAGGGTTGCTATGAGTCAGGTCTGAGTGGACAGCACAAAACAACATTACTCTAAAATAATCTCTGGCCTCAGCCTGTTTTTTTTCCCAAGTTTTCTTTAGAGAGAAGAAACTCTGAAATGCATTCTCTGAATTTAATTCTGATGTTTGTTCCAGTTAATGGATTCCAAGACCACTCTGAGGGCCTAGACATTTTGGCAGGACTATCTTAAGTATTGAGAGGTAGTTGGAGAGGACCCAAAGTGTAGTCAATAGACCATCTGCATTAGGATCACCCAAATAATTTAATAGATTTCTGGGTCCTTCTCCAGATGTGTTAATTCAGAATATGGGTGGGAGGGGAAGCTTGAAATCTGCATTTTTAACAAGTTTTCTAGGTGATTCTTAGGCATGTCAAAGTTTGAGAACCAGCTCTGGTGGTTTAGTGCCTAAGACATTTGCTTGCTAACCAGAAGGCTGGTGGTTCAAACCCAACAGCCACTCCTCAGAGGGAAGATTGGGCGATCTACTTCTCTAGTGATGCCACCTTGAAAACCCAAGGAGGGGTAGCTATGAGTCGGATCCAACTTGATGGCAGTGAGTTTGATTTTTTTTTTTTTTTCCTCTGTATATTCTTCTCAGAGCAAACAGACGTGGACTAGGATGCAGTACTACATTTTTAAATAAAATATCATGCCCCATATCTTAGCACCAATCTTCATCATATTGAATTCCCCAGTTAGGATTATTGTTCCATCTGTAAAATTCAACTTAGTAAACCTTCTGTCACCCTGTTCTACCCTTTAATTTTCTATCAAGTTGCCCTTGAAGGCTATGTTACTTAGGTTGCCTCTCATATGACTTCTAAACTTAAATTATGTTCAATAAATACTGAGGATAAATTCTGTGCCCTCCTTCTCACCTTCCTTCAATTCCAACTCTCTCCTTTTCCTTATATGGAAGAAAAATGGAAAGCTGACAAATTATCTCCTTACAAAAAACTAAACTCCTATGCTCTGTCTTAACTGAAATAAAATAGATTAGCTAATGTGAACAGTACCAATAACATAGTCATTTTGGAAACACATAATCTCTAGTGCCAAAAGGCAGTGTCTTTTCTGACTTTAAGGTCTTTCTAAATAATACTTTACAATAATTAATTTTCCAATCCTGTAATATTGTTATAAAATCATCACACTCAAGAGATCCAGCCTTTGCAAAAGGCTTCAAGTTCTGTACAGCCAACAGAGAATGAAATTTGGCCAAGAAAAGAAGCCTAAATACTGTGTTATGGTTTAAATTATGTACAAAAAAAGTATGTGTTGAAAATCCTAACCTCTATGTTTGTGCTTATAATCCCACTTAGGAATGGGATGTGATGAGGCAGGATTAATGTAGAGTATGTCTTGACTCAATCTCTTTTGAGATATACAAAGAGATTAAATAAGCAAATCAGAGCACCAGAGGTGGAGTTAACTAGATGTCCAGACACACAGAGATCTCCAGGGAACCAGGAAGCAGAAACGGAAGAGGCAAGGACCTTCCTCCAGAGCCAACAGAGAGAGAAAGGCTTCCTTCACCTAGAGCTGGTGCTTTGAATTTGGACTTCTAGGAGCTCTGGTAGCATAGTGGCTAAAGCACTTGACTGCTAACCAGAAGGCTGGCGGTTCAAACCCCCCAGCCACTCCTCGGAAGGAAGGTTGGGCAATCCTACTTCCGTAGTGATACTGCCTAGGAAATCCAAGGAGAGGTCGCTATGAGTCGAGGCTGACTCGACGGCACATAACAACAACAACAACAACAAACAATGAGAAATAAATTTCTGTTTATTAAAGCCATTTACTTGTGGTATTTCTGATATAGTATCACTAGAAAACTAAGGCAGAACTTGGTACCAGATAAGTGGGATGCTGTTCTAGTAGATACCTAAAATGTGGAACCAGTTTTGGAATTCAGTAATGGGTAGAGGTTGGAAGAGTTTTAAGGTACTAAATAGTAAAGTTTAGAATGTCTTGAAGGACCATTGGTAGAGTTACGGATATCAAAGGCAATCTGGTGAGGAGTCAGTAGGAAGTGAGGAGAAATACAGAGAAAGTCTCTATCATATGGTACCAGCAACAGAATGTTGCTAGAAATGTGGACAATAAATGTGATTCTGGTGAAATTTTAAAAGAAAATGATGAACATGTGATTGGACAATGAAGTATGGGTGATGCTTTTAAAACAGTGGCAAAGAACTTATCTGAATTATGTTCAAATGTTTGGTGGAAGGTAGACTTGTAAGTGATGAACTTGAATATCTGGCTGATGAGATATCTAAGCACTATCTTGAAGAGACTGTGGTTTCTGCTTATTGCTTATAGTAAAATGCAAGAAGAAAGAGATAGACTTAAAAATGAACCATGCAAAATGAAAACAGAACTTAAAGATTTGAAAAATTCTGTTGTACAAGCTAAGGACACATGTCCTAGAATATTCAACAAGAACGTGCCTACACAATCTTTTATTAAAGAGATTAAGCCTGTGAGTGATGGATCTAACCAGCTACCACAGCAGAAAACCCATTAGCTTAGACCATAGTGAACAGAGAAAGAACAAAAGGAAAGAATGTTGTCTACCTCTTATAATTCTACAAGAAGAAAACAAGACAAAGGAGCTACAACTGCTGTTCTCCAAGAAAAGAAAAAGACCATCCCTAGAGCAGCAAAACTGTTGCACAAGAAGTAGGGCATTCTCAGTTTCTAAGCGTGAGGCCATGAATGGTCTACTGTACCATGAAGGATGGGGCCATGGCCTCCTAGGTTCCAAAGAGTCTGATCTTCACCAACTCAGTTCCTGAACTTTACCAACTCAGTTCTGGGGTGTGGAGCAGCTGTTAAGGTGTGCCAGGGGGAAGAGACTGCTGCCCAAAGCTGAGGGAGTAGGGTTGCCATGCCCAAGGGTAGAAAATGGGGCTTACCAGGGACTGAGGGGGTGGGATTGCAACTCAAATTTGGAGAATGAGGTCACCCAAAGCCAAGGGAGCAGAGTTTCTATCCCAGTGGGCCTGGAAGGCAGAGCTGAAGCCCAGGGCTGAAGGATTTCCATCCAGAATCCAGACAGTGTGGTCAATACCCAGTGTGTAGAGCAGAGCCATCACCTGGATGGTCTCAGAGAAGAGAGAATTATTTTCAGCTCTTGAGAGCTAATGTAATGCCTGTTATCCCTTCTTTTCCACAAATGTCTCCCATTTGTAATAGAAATGTCTACTTTGCGCCTGTTCTACCGTTGCAGTTTAAAAGCAGATAACTTGTACTGTAGATTTCACAGGTTCACAGCTGAAGAGAAATTTTGTCCCAGGATGGAATACACCTAAATTTTTGCCTATATTTGATTTAGATGATTTGGAAGATGAGATTTTTAACTTGGAGTTGATTTAAGTTTTGGGGATGATGTGGAGAGGTGAATGTGTTTTACATGTGGCAAGGACATGAATTTGGGGACCGAAGGATGAAATGTTATGGACTAAATAATGTCCAAAAAAATATGTGTTGTAAATCCTAACCTTTATACCTGTAGTTATAATACCATTTAGGAACGGAATGATTATGTTATGTTAATGAGGCAGGATTAGTGTATGGTGTATCTTTAGTCAATCTCTTCTGAAATATTAAAGATACTAAACAATCAAGCAAGAGAAGCAAAGATGAGGTAAGATATATATGTAACAAAATATTTGCCAATTCAACATTTTTTACATGCACAATTTAGTGACATTAATTATATATAATTATATATAATCATCATGTTGTGCAACTGATTATTTTTGTGTGAGACCATTGGTACTACAGTTTTCTAAGACAACTAAATATGCTGTATTTTAATTTATAAGCTAGTTCTCAAGCCTTTTGTTATTGTTGTTGTTGTGATTTGGGTGAAAGTTTACAGAGCAAATTCACTTTCCACACAGCAGTCCACACTTTGTTTTATGACATTGACTACAATTTACTACAATGCAATAGCTCCCCTCCCACTTCCTCCGATAGTTACCTCTTCCCTGTGTCCATCCCTCCATGCACTCCTGCCCCCTGAGGTGTCTCCCTGTGCATAAACAGCCCTTCTTTCTCCCGTGATTGTTCTCTCCAAGGAGTGTATCTACCTCAGGTACAAGTTCAACTCATATGCCTGTCTTTTGTTTGGCTGGAAGCCTCAAGTGTGGGTTCAGTTCCAGACCTGAAGAGCAGCTAGGGCCCATAGTCTCAGTGGTACCACCAGGCTCTCTCAGACCATCTCAAGCCTTTTTGATCTTTTAATCATTGTAGTCTTTAAATGCCCATAAGGTAATGAAATAAATCAGAAATATTTAGAAACCCAAATTGTCAAGGAATTTGCCAAGATTTCATTTCAAGCAATCTGAATTTGTAAAGAATGCTATTGTCATTTCTCCAGGAATAACTTAAACCAAAGGAAAATAAAAATTTGACTAAATTAATTTTCACTTACAACCTTATCATGTCAAAGGGCAGGCATTGGGTCAACGAATACAGTGAAAACTACTTTCTAAAAATGATTAGCCCATAAGTTTTTTAAAAATGGGGAAAGTGAAAAGAAATAACTTGCCATTGATTACAAATAGCTAAGGTGTCATTCAGGATATTTTACCATATTTATTCACTGTCATGTATTCATAGAACACAAAAGAGTTCATGACACAAAAATGGTAATCAGTTAATATTTCTAATCCAGATTAAACAAGAACATGCTTACTTTCTTGAACTTGGTTCTGACTAAGAAAATGAGAAAAATTCAACACAAAGGTAAAAAATCAAAACTTCTTACCTTCATAACCTCTAGAGCATAAATCATCTGTGGTTCCATAGATTTTCCATCTACTCCATAAACCCGACCCCTTGTAGAGCATAATATTCTTTTCCTGTCTGTTGCCATAGTTAAAAAATAATTCTTCTCCCTTGATTCCAAAAAGTGTGTCATTTTTGCACTCCCATTTTTGAAGTTCACTTTTTGGGTCACAGGCATATAAAGTGATAGAAACCCAATCAGTTTTGGATGGCACACCCAAGCATAATTTAAATGCAACACTCATAATCTGGGAATCAGACACCCATCGGAATTTCTGTGATTCACTGTCCGGGTTGCAAACCGCAGTTTGCACTGCACCAGGGTTCACTGCTTCCACGCAACGCTTGTGATCTTCATTATATATTAAAAACTGCCTAGTGTCTGTCAAAAAAAGAAAAAAGAAAGAAAGTATGCTTAAGTCAGTATATATGACAAGGATAATTTTATTTTGTAAATTCCCAACCTTTCCATTTCCCTGATAACTTATAATCACAGGGAAAAAAGGTGAAGGAAACTCTGTCTGGGCCCTTCAGATCCCTTTTGGGGGCTCCTGACAACAGAAAGAGGAACTGGATTGAGGGTGCTGGCCTTAGGGAGGATGTGTGGCTGTTGGCAATTGGCAAAATCTTCCAAATGCCCTCATTAGTTATGAGAAGGAAGGTCTTTCTTAAAACCACTCAAATTGTAGTGGAGTAAATGTGAAAGGTGGATAGTGGAGAAAGAAATTACATTTGAGAAAAGAAAATTTATGCATATAAATACAATAAGGTATAAAATGAGATGAATGTATGTCCTGATCCTGGAACAGGGTTTTGAAATCTTACACATTGCTACTTATTTTGAGATATATGAAACCTCTATATTATTACTCAGTTGTAGCACCAAGTGATTTTTGTAATTTAAATAACAATTTAACTTTAGGTAATTTTGTCTTCATTGTATGTCCTGCAAATTTTTTTGACAAAGTGCTTTTTGGGTAGCCCAGATCTGAGTAACTAGAAATTATTTAAAGTTTTTGTTTTCTCTTCTTAACAATAGGTAACTTATAGATCTAGCAACTAGAGATAAATTAGTATCTGTTACATACTTTTAACTTTCATTTTATTGGCATATTGAATCCACCTTTGTATAACAAAAAAAATGTGTTTAAAAGTTTAATAATTTGTGAAGTTTGCAATAGATGAAATAAATGTAAGTCTTCATATCACTTGAGTTAAAATTTCAAGAATAACTTTAAAAAGTAATACCATCTTTTTAAATAGTTTTGATTTGGAACTGGTGATTTAAGAAAATGTGGACGTGTGGCTTGTGCTTGTAGTACAGAGCTGTTAGCTAGCAAAGTCAGGCTTCCTGTTGAAAAAAAAAAAAGGACTTGGTAAGCTTTTTTTTTTTTTTTCAATAAAAATTGAGTTCACGCAAAGGTTTTTCTTTTTTTTTTTGTTTTCTTTCATTTTTTTAAGAATAGACAAATTAAAAAGACTGACTCTAATCTCTTTTGATTTTATGACATAAATATAAATTACACATTTCTAATCCTAAATTAGGAGCTCTGGTAGCATAGTGCCTAAGGCACTTGACTGCTAACCAGAAGTTTGACGGTTCAAACCCACCAGCCACTCCTTGGAAGGAAGTTTGGGCAATCTACTTCCATAGTGATACTGCCTCGGCAACCCAAGGAGGGGTTGCTATGAGTCAGTCCGACTTGACGGCACATAACAACAATAACAACAACAATAATCCTGAATTGGAGCTTTGGTAGCGTGGTGGATAAGGCATCTGACTGCTAACCAGAAGGTCAGTGGTTCAAATCCACCAGCTGCTCTGTGGAAGGAAGATGGGATGATCTACTTCGGTAAAGATTTACAGCCTCAGAAACCCAATGAGGGTCGCTATGAGTCGAAAGATGGCAGTGAGTTTGGTTTTTGTGGTTTTGGAACCCTAAATTCCCTTTAGTTCTGTAATTCTTTCCAAATTAGCTGCTAGAATTGAAGATGTTTTAGGGTCTGAATCAATGACCTTGCTATTTTTAATCAGGAGCTCTGGTGGTGTAGTGCCTAAGGCATTTGACTGCTAACCAGAAAGGTGGTGGTTCAAACCCACCAGCCACTCCTCAGAAGGAAGGTTGGGCAATCTACCTCCACAGAGATACTGCCTCGGAAACCCAAGGAGGGGTTGCTATGAGTCAGATCCGACTCCACTGCAGTGAGTTTGGTTTTGGTTTTTATTTTTAATCAGATCACCCCAGTACAATGTCACAATGTCATAACAGAGTCATTAGTAGAGTCCTTTACCATTTATAAAGAACTTTCATGAACCACATTCTATTCACTGTTCTCCATCCTCCTGTAAGGGTAGCTCCACTTAGACTCTGTGATCAATTTTAGGACCATCAATTTAGGTCTTATAATGAATCTTTGCTCTAAAAGTATTATTTTCTCCTAACAGGCTCTTGTTTCTGCTGTCATCCCATACTTGTTAGCAATCTCTTGCCACTATCCTGCCTGACAATTCCCTGGGTCCCCCAGCTGAGTTACTCATTTGTGCTCATTTGTTTTCTTGGTGTCAGACCTCAATAATACCTGGAGGCACAATACCTGCTTTTGCTGGCTTCCTGGAGTTGACATCTGTCAGCTGAACATAGAACACTTGACTGAATCCTCTCCTGTCTAGCTGAACTTCTGCCCCATTGGTCTCATTTTTTTGTCTCCATATTCTAGTGTGACAAAATGCATAACTTTCTGTACTGATGATAAAATTAAAACTTTAATAATACGGAGTTTAGCTTATAATAAAACACAGGAAATAGGAAAATAAAAACAACTTTTAAAAACAATTATTGTGGTAATTCACCATACAAAATGTAAATGCAGCCCCATCTAGGCTAAAAGTATAATGAACTCCAAATATTTTGAATATTTACACATATAAAACAAAATAGTCAAGATATATATTTGGAAACTCAACTATATTGACCTTTACATTTAAATTCATTTACTTTTGCTATTCTGCTAATTATTTTCACATCTAGACCTAATCTCCACTTTTCAGATAGCTTTGCTCAGTAACATCTCATCATTAATAAGACACACATCTTCTACTTCAGACTTCAGCCAGTTTTTGTTTTTGTTGTTGATTTAGTGACTTACGAGACTCCATGTGTAACAGAGAGGAACTGCGCCATACAGTTTTGTTGATTGTAATATTTGCAAAAGCAGATCACCAGGCTTGTTTTGCACATGGTGCCACTTGTTATTGTTGTTGTTAGGTGCCAGGAGTCAGCTCAGACTCATAGTGACCCTGTGTACAACAAAACGAAACCCTGCCCGGTCCTGTGCCAGCCTCACAATCCTTGCTATACCTGAGACCATCCTTGCAGCCAGTGTGTCAATCCATCTCACTGAGGGCCTTCCCCTTTTATGCTGACCCACCATTTTACCAAGCATGATATCCTTCTCCAGAGAATGGTCCCTCTGACAAGACCACAGTAGCTGAAATGACGTCTGGCCATTCTCACTTCCAAGGAGCATTTTGGCTTCACTTCTTTCAGGACAGACTTGTTAGTTCTTCTGATAGTCCATGGTACTTTCAGTATTCTTCACCAACACCACAACTCAAAAGCATCAACTCTTCTTCAGTCTTCCAGCTTTCACACGTATATGAGGCCATTTGAAAATACCATGGCTTGGGTTTGGGTGCACCTTAGTCTTTAAAGAGATATTGTTGCTCCTCAGCACTTTAAAGAGGTCTTTTGCAGCAGATTTGCCCAGTGCCGTATGTCGTCTGATTTCTTCACTCCTGCTTCCATGGGTGTTGATTGTGGAACCAAGTAATATGAAATCTCTGACAACTTCAATCTTTTCTCCATTTATTTTGATGCTGCTTATTGATCCAGTTGTGAGCATTTTTGTTTTCTGTATATTGAGGTGTAATCCATACTGCAGACTATAATCTTTAATCTTCATCAGTAAGTGCTTCAAGTTATCTTCACTTTCAGCAAACAACATACTGCTAAACCAAAAACCAAACTCACTGCCATTGAATCGATTCAATGCATAGCAAGCGCCCCTTGGATTCCTGAGTCTGTATCTCTATGGAAGTAGATTGCCCAATCTTCTTTCTGAGGAGTGGCTGGTGGGTTTGACGCACCAGCCTTCTGGTTAACAGTCAAGTGCCTTGGGCACTATGCCACCAATGCTTCTAGGTGAGTTCAAACCGCTGACCTTAAACTTCATCCATTCATGCATTGGTCAAGCTGTAATCACTTACTAACTAGCAAATTTAGTCAAGTAATCAAATGGTGATCAGACATATAAAATAAGATGCTTGGAAGTCTTCAGAAATGAACACTTCCTCATTCAGAGTTTTTATATAGATTTTTATTTTCTGTTCCTAATTTTCATCTGTGGTTCCATCTTAATTTTACTCTCTATAATGATACTTAATGAGTAAACATGGCCCCTTGGCCAAATGGTACAAATGGTTCATGCTCAACTACTTACCTAAAGGCAGGCACTTTGAACTAACTCAGTGGCACTATGGAAGAAAGACCTGACAATCTACTTCTGTAAAGATTGTTGTTGTTGTTATGTGCCATTGAGTCAGACTCGACTCATAGCAACCCCTCCTTGGGTTTCCAAGGCAGTATCACTAATGAGGTAGATTGCCCCATCTTCCTTCCAAGGAGTGGCTGGTGGGTTTGAACCACCAGTCTTCTGGTTACCAGCCAAGTGCCTTAGGCACTATGCTACCAGAGCTCCTTTGTAAAGATTAAAGGCAAGAAAACCCTATGGAACAGTTCTACTCTGTAACACATGGGGTTACTATGAGTTAGAATTGACTTGGTGGCAATGGGGTTAGTTTTTGGGATTTTGGTAATAAGTAAATATCCAATCTTCTTTCATTAACGGCACAACCATCTACTCAGATCCATAAGCCCAAAATCCTAGGAATAATCTTGAATTTCCAGGTTTTACTTACTTTCCAGGACCATCCCATTATCATAGAGTCTATGGGGAAGACTCCAAAGGCTTTCCAAAGTTGAAACTTTTACAGAAATAGAATGCCACATCTTTAGTCTGTGGAGCAGCTGGTGAGTTTAAACTGATGATCTTTCAGTTAGCATTGAGTGCTTAACTACTACACCACCAGGGCTCCTTTTCCAGGACAATAACAGGATCTATTGGCTGTACCCAAAATATACCTTAACCCATTTATGTTTCTTCATGCCCACTGCAACTATGCTAGTCTGGAACACATTAGTCTTACTTTAGAAATGCTACAATCACCTAGTGACTAAACCCTATAACCTATTTTTCTCAGAGAGGCCACAAAGCTCTTTTAAAACTGTAAATTAAGTAATATCATTCCTCTATTTAAATCCCTTAAAGACTGTACCATTGCACACAGTTAAAAAAAAAAAAAAAAAAAAAAAACACTTGATTTCCAAATCATACTTCACTAGACAGGGCCCTGGCTGCCCCTTTGCCCTATTGCCTGCTACTCCTGTTCTCACTCACTACCCTCCAGGCTACTCCAAGTTCCACCACAACAGCAACTTCACACTTTAAGTTCCCTCTTCTTGGGATGCCCATTCAGTTCTTAGCTCAAGTATCAACTCCTTAGAGAGCTGACTATTCTAATTATTCTTACTCTTTTATTCTCTTCATAGTATTCATACATCTTAAAATATATCATTTTATATTATATTTTGTCTATCTCCCTCTACTGGAAGGTAAAGTCCCTGAGGAAAGGGACTTTATCTTTCTCATTCACTAAGGAGTCCTTGAGGGTCTAAGTGCTTGCTGCTAATCAAACGGTTAGCGGTTTGAATCCATCCAGAGGCACTGGGAAAAAAGACCTGGTGATCTACTTCTGAAAGACCACAACCATTGAAAACTTCATGGAGTACAATTCTACTCTGACACGCATGGATTCACCATAATTTGGAACTGACTCAACAGAAATTGGTTTCTTCATTGTTAGCTTCTTACTATATTCTCTCTTTTTGGACCCTAATAAGCTCTTAACAAATGAATGAATGGAAGAATATTTACTAAGTCTGAAACAAAGATACTAGTAAACAAGATAAATTATTTTATTTAATAATTGATTAATGGTTAAGGATTGATTCAATATTAGTTTTTCCCCTCAAAGCTTACTTTTACTGGAGAGCAATTTATAAATGTTTGTGCTTATGAAGGGGGTGATTGTAAACGAAAAGCTTCTATTTCAATACATACTTATCTCTTCTCATTTCCTTTCTTTATCTTTTGGCTTCTGACACATTAGGAAGCAGTGTAAGTCTGATATTGCCTTTGTCAGACAATACAAGGAAATGTAAAATTATCACTTGATTGTGATACAGTTATACATTAGGCTTCTCTCTGAGTTGTCAACAGGTAGTTTTGCTTTTATGATGGTCTGTGTGAAATGTCCCTGATCTAAAATGTCATGCTCTTCCTCTGAAAGTATATCCCAAGACCTTGACCAACAGGCAGCTGGTGGCATTTCTGCTACTATTAAGCAAAACAATTTTATACATTGTTAAACAGTCTATCTTTTGTCCATACTAATTATATTATTGTAATAAAAACACCGTAAAGTTGAACAAGTGAGGACAGTGAAATAGGTATAGTCATTTGTCTGCAACTGCATTTACGAAATCTAATTTATGAGTTTTCCTTCCTTCTTTTAATACTTACACATCAGAAATATGTTTATAAAATTGAAGATCCTCTATCCACCTTAACTTTCTTTTGCTAATTTTACATATAGGTATTTTTCAACAAATATTTGGCAAACATCTATTCTGTGCCAGGCATTGTGCTATTCAATGGCAATCAAAGGCAAACCAGAGAGAGCAGCTCTCTGGCTACACTGAGCATGCACTCTGCTCTGATTAATTCAAGGCCAGCAATGTAAAGTGTCAGAAGCCCCAGGGCTATGTAAATGGTTAACACTCTCGTGGTTAACAGAAAGGGTGGTGAGTTGAGTCCACCTAGAAGTGCCTTGGAAGAAATTTCTGGTGATCTGCTTCTGAAAAATTAGCTATTAAAACCCTGTGGAGCACAGTCTATTCTGATACACATCGGGTAACCAGGAATCTGAATCAACTCAATGGTAATTGGTTTGGTTCTGGTTAATGTCACTAGTCACAATACATGTAAGGAAGAAGTAATAGGTTCTAACCCACTGTCTAAGGTTAAATGTAAGTGAAGACTGACTATCCAAGAAAGAGCTCTGGTGGTGCAATGGTTAAGGGCTCGGTTGCTAACCAAAAGGTTGGTGGTTTAAACACACCAACAGTTCTGCAAGAGAAAGGATTTGGCAATCTGCTTCCATAAAGTTTATAGCCAAGAAACCCCTATGGGCAGTTTTACTATGTCACATGGGATTACTATGAACTGGAATTGATTTGGTGGCACCCAACAACTATCCAATAACAGTGTTATGAATCTTCTTTTAAGTATAGTTTAATATTTTTAAATTATTAATTCTATAATATCGAGCAACTAATTACATTTCCAAGTCTACTAACAAAGAATACTAGTCATTAACAGTGATTATTTTACTTTGTAAAAAAAAAAAAAAAAAAACTCACTGCCATTGAGTCAATTCAACCCATAGTGACCCCTCCTTGGATTTCCAAGGTGGTATCACTATGGAAGTAGATTGCCCAACCTTTCTTCTTAGGAGTGGGTTTGAACCTCCAGCCTTCTGGTTAGCAGTCAAATGCCTTAGACACTACGTCACCAGAGCTCCTTTAGGAATATAAATACAATATATTATATTTTAATATAAATTTCTAGACTTTCTCCACTATCAATAAATAAAATTCTGTTGTTAAAATACAATAGAAAATAATCACTTCTGGAAGACAGTGAAGCTGGATAAGAAGAAGATAAGTGAGTATTCTATGGCAGATACTGCCAAAATTCCACTTTTACCTCCTTGGGCTTTGCAATATCAGTGCATGCCAATACTACTTCCAAAAGTGAGAACCACATCACTTGGCAGGACGGCTTTTATCTGACCATCAGAGCCCACTATGCCCACACTGTCAGATTAGAAGGGCCCAAGAATTAACACACCTATAAGCAGCCTTCTACCAGTGACTGATGGGAAGTGATAATGAAATATCTTGCACCTTAGGTAAAATGACTTTGGGGCATGAGTACACATTGTCTCCTAGGGCTTTTCAACAGAACTGAGTTCCAGTTGTCAACAGTGACCCTTGAC